ACTGGATTAAACTCCTATTCAGCTAAATCTATTCTTTAGCAATTCGGGAAACAATTAAACAGAAATACAATTATAACGCTTGCTTACTTATTTCAAGCCATCATCACCACTAGGCCCTTTCAAAAAAAAAAAAAAACCCAGTCAGATTACGTGCAAACTTCCCTTCTTTTGCTAGTTGTGCTTATTGAATGTTAATAAAGTAACAAGGAGACAATAAAGTTATATGTGTTAAAATACAGCACTGTAATAACTTGGGTGGAGGTCAGGTCTTTGCATGGAAAATTATGTCTCAGGTCAGTTACTTTGTTTTGCCTGATGTCTTTCTTTCTTTCTTTCTTTCTTTCTTTCTTTCTTTCTTTCTTTCTTTCTTTCTTTCTTTCTTTCTTTCCTTTCTTTCTTTTTCTTTCCTTTCTTTCTTTCTTTTCTTTCACTCTCTCCTTTCTCTATTTATTTTCTTCTTTCCTTTTCCTTCCTCTTTCTTTCATTCTTTCTTTTTCTCTCTCTCTCTTTCTTTCTTTATTTTCTTCTCTTTTCTTCCTTCCCCTTTTTCTTTCTTTCTTTTGTTCTTTCTTTCTTTCTTCTCCTTCCTTCCTCACTTCCTTCCTCTTTCTTTGTTCTCCTTTCCTTCCTCTTTCTTTCTTTCTTCTCCTTTCTCCTTCCTTCCTTCCTCCCTCTTTCTTTCTTTTGTTCTTTCTTTCTCCTTTCCTTTCTTTCTGTTTCTTTCTTTCTTCTCCTTCCTTCCTTTCCTTCCTTCCTTTTTCTTTCTTTGTTCTCCTTTCTCCTTCCTTCCTTCCTCCCTCCCTCCCTCTTTCTTTTGTTCTTTCTTTCTTTCTTTTTCCTTCCTTCCTCCCTCCCTCTTTCTTTCTTTTGTTCTTTCTTTCTTTTTCTCCTTCCTTCATTTCTTTTGTTCTTTCTTTCTTTCTTTCTTTCTTTCTTTCTTTCTTTCTTTCTTCCTTTCTTCTCTTTCCTTCCTCTTTCTTTCTTTCTTTCTTTCTTTCTTATATGCCACCCATCTCACGTCAAGGCAACTTTGGGCATCTTACAAGTAAAAGCAACAGAAACATTAAACCACTACAATAAAAAACATCAACATGAAATAGATAGACTCAATCCTCTTCCGTTTAATTGGTTCTAGTTCAGAAGATACATTCTTATAGTCCAGTCCAGTATATTCCAGGCAATTAAAATGGAACGTTTTGGCAGGGTCTCAGATTTCATCTAGCTATTTATCAAACCCTATCAGAAAATTTATTCCAATGGGCAAAGCTAACCCACTGCAGATAGAAGGAGAAGAAATAGTAAAAAAAAAATAATTATCTTCCTAGGCTCAAAAATTCACAGAAATGGGGATTGTAGCCATAAAACCAAGAGCTGCCTAATATTCAGAATAAAGACTAAAATTTGGACGAATATTAATATACAGAGAAATCGGGGTGATAGGCAAGATACGTCCGGTCAAGGCTAAAGTTTGCCCAACTGAAAGCTGGAAAAATCTTTTTTTAAAAAAAATGGGGGATAAAAACCTGGAGAAAATTATTGGGACTACCTTGGATTGATAAAAGACAAATCATTCAATACTAGATGAAATAAAACCAGGCTGCCCACTGGAAGTGCTAAACATTAATCTAAAATGTGCCGTACTTTGGACACATAATAAAAAGTCATCGAGGAAGCCTAGATCCATGGGAAAAAATTTGGAGGCCATTGAAAAAAGAGACGTAGAGAATACAAGGAAAGCAGATACTATCGCGCACGACACGGGAATGAGCTAAGAAATACAGGGAGTCCTTGATTTGTGACCACCATTGAGCCCAAAATTTCCGCCACTAAGCGAGATAGTTGTTGAATTTCACCCCTTTTACGACCTGCCTTGCCACAGTTGTTAAGTGGTTAAATTTAAATTAAATTGTCGGAAGGTCACAAAAGCAGATCACGTGACCCCCTGGGGACCCTGAAACCGCCGTAAGTACATGCCAGTTGCCAAGCATGTCTGAATTTTGATCACGTGACCACGGGAAGGCTGCAATGCTTGCTTAAAAAAAACAATGACAGGAGGAGATGGATTGTTTAAGTTTAGAGTTTGGAGTTAGAGATATTAATATTTGTTTACTTGTATTTGAATATTAGCCTAGGTTTGGTTTGGGAAGTCCGGGGGTGGGGGGATGGGATATAACATTGTGTAATATCTGTGATGTATTTCTTTTCTTTTATGATAAAAATAATAAAATTTTATAATGAAAAAAAAAAAAAAAAACAATGACAAATCGATTTTTTTCACTGCTGGGGTCACTTGGAATGGTCCCTACACAAACTGTGGTCAGTCAAGGACTACCTTGTATACACTGATAAATTTATGTCCACTGGGTCACGAGAAGTCAGAGACAAACGTATCCCACCATCGCGTAGAAAATTGTGTCAAATATTTCTCTTTCTAAGTCGGCTTTCTTTCAATCGATCAGAATAGAGCTGGAAGGGACCTTGGAGGTCTTCTAGTCCAGCC